TCTGCTATTCTGAATCTGCTTAAATATTAACATGGAACTTCCCAAATTTGGGGTCAAGAGTCTCGTGTGTGCTTGACCCAATTCCCTGAACTGTAAAAGAAAAAACAAAATTACTAATGTTATTCACATTATTAACTGTTAACTATTTTTCAAAAGCTTCTTAAGAAAGTAAATGATTATAATACTTAATTGTCTCATGCTGTGAAGATTACATTGAGAACCTTACATCATTAAAAAGCTGGTCATACCTTTTAATTCTGACTCATCAGACCACTTGAATTGCTTCACACTCATTTCACACATCCGTCTGTCTTGTGCGTCATTCACTCAATCAAATCACCTGCTTCCTCAGTTTGTGAAGGATGGAAAAATAAAATACAAATTCTGCACTTCTTACAAAGAGAAAAGGATGTGAGTCATTCATTTATTCAACTTTGTCTGCAGCCAGTGTTATTAAACATTTCTGTTTCCTTTGGGAGATTATGATTCAGGTTTAAAGAAAATATGAGATTCAATGTGACTTTTTAAAATAAAGCCAGTCAAGTATTGACATGGAGCCAGCAGGTCTATTCAGCATCACTGTTTGAGGCCAGTAGCAGGGCTGTGATCTGGTTACGTACTGTGCTCAGAGTGTTTTATATGAATTTGTCCTTCACTTTGCTCGTTGTAGCTTCCAGCCTACACATCTCTCTCCTTTCTGCCCTACAGTACTATTCTCATGTTCTCCATCTTATTCCAACTGTTTTATAAAGGTATTGATCGTCATATTCTCGTCTTTAGTAATAACTTATGAGCTCTATAGGCTAATATTTTTCTTTAGCACCCAAAGGCACCTACTTTGTTCTGTTTCCTCTAAATCTTGGCTTTGTTTCCAGTATTAAAGATGGCACCGCAGAGTAGCCTGTCTGAGGGTTATAAATCAGTTTTACTGCTTTGAATTTCATTACATAATGCTGCTGCCTTTTGATGGCTGCCATTTACGGTTTGCCATGCTGATTTGTTTTCCTGCCATATGTGCTTTCTAGGAACAAAGTCAGAATGATTTTTTTGTTTTTAATTATTACATTACTTGGCTGAAAATCAAATGTACACATTTTTTGGAAATCTATTTTTGAGGAAACATACATAAAAAAGGTAATCTAGCTTATGTGTTAGCAGAAGTGTTGTTCCTAAATAGAACACTTAGTGCACATATAAAAGTGGATAAAAACTGAAGGGATCAGTAATCAAATTAATTTATCAGTAATGCGTAGGGTCAGCAGACAGTCAGTGACACCAAATGTTTCTGTATAAAACATTTGGTGTCCAAAGTGCTGTTTTTAAGTGTAATGATGGAAAGTTGAGTGGAAGGAAAAAAGTGCAATTTAAAAAGTGTAGGTTAAACTTAAAAGGATTATGTAGATTACGTAGTGAGTTATAACACAGAGACATATCCAGGATATTTTGCTCTCAGCCACTCCTGAACTAGAGAACTGTCTCTCTTAGGCTAAAGAAAAAATGGACTAGACTGCTGCTTAGTGTTCCAAAGCCCTATTTTAAATAAAAAGTAAATGTTGCATCTAATTAGGAAATTCAGGTACAGGAACAAGAGTGGACAGACGCAAAACCCAAGCTGGTCCAAGGTGAAGTTTCCACAGTTGGTGATGGTTTAAAAACATCGCCAGTGCTGTTGTTGGTCCACTGTAGGTTATATAATTCAGTCAGAAGAGCCTTCTACCAGGATATTTTATAACACATTCCTATGCTGATTTAATTTTTCAGCAGAAAATGTTATGTTATATTATGTTATATATTATGTTATATATTATGTTAGTCAATAACATAATATGTTATGTTATTGACTACAGAAACAGCGTGTTTAAAGACCTGACATGGTGTGTTGCTAGGAGGAATTTGAGACACCAGATCCAACAATGCAGGTGAGCAGAAAGTTCCTTTGAAACCAACTTGGGCTTTCTCAATATATCAACAGAGAATCCATGCCATACTGCACTGATGCAGTAATTCTTTCTCAAGGAGTCCCAATCCAGCAGTGTGTGCATATACAATACAACACATGGAAATACCATTTGGAAGGCCCACATTTATGTATATTATTATTTATTAAAATTGACCCTATGTAAAAATCTATTGTTTGAGAAACTAAACTTTTCATTCTCTCTACACCACAATGGTGAGTGTTTATAGAAATAAATGCTTGTCTTTAGCAAATATGAGTAAGTTTTTAAATATTTAATTGCTCTCTTCTTTTAGTTTTACTACTGCAGACAAGGCTTAATGCTTAAATTTGTTCTCTTAGCTTACTTGTATCATATGATAACCCACAAGATGAATAGTTTTTAGTGAAAATGTCAGCTTCAAAGAAGCCCTACAGGGAAAAAAATAGCCAACACCCACATACCTAAATGTAGTCTCTATGACAGCAGGCAGTGTGTTGTTGCTTAGCTTTAAAATGGAAACAAGCCACAAGTAGTAAGAAGGCAGTCCTCCAAGCAGATCAGCCGTAGGTGTATTTACTAGAAAGGATACTTACTATTTTCAACCCAGTAAATCTTATGCAAAATTAAGGCACAGTGTTAATAGTTAATGTTTTCCTGGCACCACCAGGACAGGCCAGAGTGAGTCTGGCAGAGGACTGCAAGCAGATAAATATGAATGTTATTTCTGTATTTACTGTTTGACAGACAAGCGTTGCTAATAAGTGATGGACTAAATGAAAATGGCAACAACAGATGTAGGTTTTCTCAGTCCTCTGAATGTTTCCTTGATTAGATATTTTAAATATACGAGGTTTTAAGATGAGAGGCAGGAGATGTTGGCTTTTATTTATTTTTTATAAGGAGATCAAAGGTTTTTTAAAAAGAAAGAAGTTCACAGCCTGTATTATTTTGAAATAATGAGATACTATCTTAGAATAATGAGATTATTTATTTATTTATTTATTTATTTATTTATTTTTAAATATGAGCTTCTATACAAACCAGACCTCTTGGACATTTTAAACATATTTTTAGGGCTTCTATTCATTTCCCTTTTGAGATTTAGTTGAATTGTTTTTCATCATGTGTCTTCTGACTTTGTTAATCAAAATTTTGGAGTCTCCCAGCCAGAGACAGGGATGTCATCCAATCACAAAGAACTCATCACGTATAATATGCCAAAAAAGCTTGTCAGCGACTATAAGCTGGACTCCTGTTCCCAATATTTTAGAAAACGTAAAATATGTATTCAAACTTCAGTTTAAAAAAGAAAACAGCATTTTTTTCTTCAATATATACTACATAAGTGTTATTTTCAACATATTGTTGATTTTTTTTTCCCTTTAAGGGCATCTTGATCTGCAGCTCAGTGAACAACGTGGTAGAAGATACCAATATCCTGGTCAATAAAGAGCATAAAAATACATGAGATGAATAAAAGGCCTCAAGTTATTAAATAAATATTAGAAAAAGATAAAACAATGGAAATATGTGTACCTTTAACATTTTCAGTGTAAATATCTGGCTGTAGGAATTAATATAAATTTGCCTTTTATGATGGTACTGGCATAAATCAGAAGCAATAGAAGAAAGTACTGCTGCCCTCCTCTCATTCCATATTTTTCAAAGAAAGAACACATAGTTACTTTCAGAGTTGTACTATCTGTACAACACAATGGTTGACTTGAAATAAGGGTGAGCACTGATGAAAGGTTGACTTGACCCAAAGTCAAGTACTATTGCATACTATACTCCCTTTTCTTAAACCCACTAAAAACAGTCTTTATACAAAGGAAAAAGGTGAAATATCAAAGAGTTAAAACAAGCACTATTAGATGAAAACCAACGTTTTTCTAGGCTTTCTAGTCAAACAGAAAAACACTGTTTCTGGGGGTGGACGTTTACACTTTTTTGCTGGAGAATACAGAAAAAGAGAAGTTCTTGGAAATCAAGCTTTGGTGAGGTGAAAATGACAGGAGGGTGACAGGATTCTTGGAGGATATGGTTAAAAAAAAAACACATCCTAAACTTAAAATGGTCCATTTTCCCAGGTAAATTTTGCTTTTCTGAACCTTTAATTGGTGATGATAATGTTCACACAGCACTCATTAATTTACCTTTGTGTCCAAACAGCCAGTACAATACATTATCACAGTTTAAAGTTTAATTAGCATTTTTTCCCCCAGAGCTGCTCTTTAAAGACACCTTTTGAACTGCAGCTCTACATTAAACCTGAGTAAATCTGTTCAGATGACATCATTTTCTCAGTCCAAATGAAACTCTCTATATACAGTGAGCATAACTTTTTATTTTAGGTCTGAAATGTGATGTTTGATACTAAATTTTGGAGAAACTTCCTAAAGGTTCTGATTTACATAATCATACACATTTATTTTTTAACTGGAACCTGTTCCTTATTTTTACTTTATAACATTTGTTGTGACCTTTCAAACTAAATATAAATCTGTGTGCACAGTTGAGTGAAAAAAATACGGTTATTTATAGTCTGCAATCAGTGTCCTACAGAGCACATATGCAAACAAAGTGAATTAAATTGTTGGAAAAAAGGAAAGAGTTGAAGCTTTATGTATTGCGTGATTCAGAAGTATATCCTTAAAAAATTTACCTAAATAGAGTAATGATTTCATTTAACTAATATAGTTTTTAAAAAACTTAAAACATGTAATTATTTTGTTATTTAAGTTTGTTCATTCTTTGAAACAGAGCAGTATGGATTGATTGCATTGTTATCTTTACACAAATTTGAAGTAATATGACAAACCGCTGTTCTGGCTTTTCTTTAATCTATGATTGCAAAGAGTAGGTGTTTTTATAGATGAAGCTTTAACTTGTGTTAGTCAGCAGCAAGCCTACATCGCCACCTAGTGGGTAAATGGGTAGCATTTAATTTCTTTTATACAGACTTTGAGAACACAAACATTTTGCCTTCATTACTGTGTTATAAGCCTCTTTCTCCATTCACTTCCTGTATTTTATTTCTGTTTTCCCTTTTCTTCACAGGACAGCAGAGAGCCTCGGGACTGCTGCCTCAGTGAGTCTTTCACTTCTCCCTCCTGTACGCTCGGCGTTGACCTGCGTCGGGGCCGACGTCGATTCTCTGGCAACCTGCAGCTGCCCCCCTTGTCTTGGCGTCAGGGGGATAGATCGAGAACACCAGACGAAGAGATCATGACGAGGCCGACGTCTCTGCCGTTTGGGGTCCCTCCCAGAATAGATATCACACCTGTGGACCCAGAATGGTTGGTAAACTGATGTTGCACAGAAACAAGCCGTTCCTTGCTGTTTTCAAATTCACTTCTAACTGAATCTGCTGCTGCTTTTCTGTCAGAAATGCCAGCAAGCTTCTTGGTTGTTAAAATATTGGAGTTTCACAGTTATTACCAGCATCCAGGAAAATACAATATACTTTTTCAGTATAGAAGGGGGAAGAAATACTAAAACTCTTTATATATATTTACAGATATTGTCCAAATAAGTAGCAATGCATCCCACCATGAGGTTGCAGCTGAATATGTTAGTATTAATTATCACGATTAATTTGTCAGATACACCCTATTACAATTCAATAGACAACCCTCTGTAAGGTTTATATATACAAATGTGCAAGTCAAGTAAGTTTTATGTGTGCAGCACATTTCAGCAACGAAGCAGCTCAAAGTGCATTACATCATAAAAACATAAAAGTAACATAAAACTGCAGCTTTGCAGCTTCCTTGATGGCACACACCTTTTCATTATTTCATTTCATTTCGGGTGATGTCTTTGTTAGCTTATCTTAAGCCACTCTGTAGCTAATTTAGCAACAGTATTAGTATCAGTGTGGAAATTAAAATACACATTTTTGTCCAACTGTTAACTTCCTGGCTGATGTCTTAATATTTCTACATAATTATTTTGCAAATAGTGGAAAAAAGGTTTGTAGATCTTTTTATACAGTGTGTTCCAATATTTGATTTTCATCTGTATGTTTTGCACAGTGCAATATTTCTCGCAAAGCATTGTGTTATGCTAAAAACTAATTGTATAGGGACGTACTGAGTTTTGACAAATGATGAATCTCTTTATGTGAAGGTGCCTTTGGGTTGAGGAAATGATGTAGTACAGGGCTGTCAAATTTCACCAAGGGCCACTTCAGCATATTGGCCACCCTCAACGGGTCACAATGACGGTACAAATCAGGAGTGCATCCCTGCTAAAACACACCCCAGACAAAAGGCTGACTTCCCTCATTCAGTTCTGTAGAGGCTTATAATGAGTCAATGGTCCAGGTGTGTTAGAGAAGGAATGTATCTAAAGCTGCAGATGGTAGCTCTGGAAAACTAGACTTGGGCACCCCTAGCATAAATGTATAAAAATACAATGTGAAAAATTAATTAAACACCACCTCATATTGTTAAATAACTGATTTTATGTATTGACATTTTAAATATTACATTTGAGTTTCCATGGATGTAAAATTACTGCTCAGTTTAAAAATTACAATATTTAAATCAGTCTTTAAAGGTGAGCAAGCAAATATTAAAAACAAGTCACATGGGCAGACATTATAGACTTTATGCAAAGATTTAGTCTCAGAGGCAACTGAAATCTATTAATTTAAAAAATCCTTTCTGAATATCATTTCATGGTCTCTGAACTAAATGCGTCTTTCTGACCGGGAGCTGACAGCGTGTTGAAGAGTTATGGACCGGACGCTTTGGAGCGTCTGGTTAGGAAGCGCATTACAAACCTTTGGTTGAAATGTAGTTTGTAGTCAACTTGTGCTCAAAACATATTTTACGTCAATCATCGGCCTATAAAATGCTGGGGGTCCACA